AAAAAAAAAAAAAAAAAAAAAAAAAAAAAAAAAAAAAAAAATCAAAACCTGGCTGCTGGTGAACAGACTTTTAGTATAGTTATCTACTCTGTTGTAAAAATAAATAAATTAGAACAATAAATAGTCTTTTATTCGACATAAGCAGCAGAGGTAAACAAAGAAACTGTATTTCTGTAGCTCTGTGTTTCCTTGGGTCATATCCATAAAGGGAATGTGACAAAGTGCCCCCTTTTCAACTCTTGAGTTTGGCCGTCAGATGATAACTGTCCAAAAAGGCCATTTTTACCATAAAAGGGATAGATGGCTCAACTGAGTAGTTGGAGGTATGTTAGGGACACATGGTGCTAGGTCAGTAAGTTGAGCCAGTTAAGATTGTTTGTTGCCTCGGAATGTGGACAACCCCTGCCCCCTTGTCCTGTCCCACTCCCCCATCCCACCACCTCAAAAAATTGCACAGAATGCCGTCCAGTTCTCCAAGCCTGAGTGGTGGCATACATGCTGCTCAACCCCCACACCTTGCTATCGCTGTAGCTCGGGGGAGTGGACAAGAGGCATGTGAAGTTGGAAACAGGATTGGGATAGATAGGACCCCTGCACAGCGTCTACGTATCAGGAGGCTGCAGGAGGCAGGAGGTGGGCCTGGAGAGTTCATGTCTTGTCAGGTTGCCTCTTGGGGGTCTTTTCACTGCGCCAGGACACATGAAGTGCTGATTAGTGTTTGCATCGAGCGGGGAGGCCAGAGATAAGTGGAGAGGAAGACAGATGTCAGGGGGAAGGAGAGGGAGGGGGATAACTGACCCACTGGTTCCCACCACACACTGTAGGACGAGCTCGGTTTGGTCCTTTGGGAAGTCTTGTGCCGTTTCCTTCTTGTGGGTTTGAGGACACACCTTGGCATCTCTATTGTTGACTGTAAATCTGCAGCACACTGTCTTTCCACTGTCTGAATGATCATCAATTGGAGCGCACCTAGTTTCATGAGTAGTGAACGTGCACTTCCAATCTCACTGAGTAACGTTTACAGAGATTCCAACCTCCTTTTACAGCTCACTGTTAGTTCTGTGTCTTTCCTCTTATTTTAAGACTTTACGAAGAGTTAAACTCTCTCAAAACATGGACTATCTGCAGCCGCACTCTGCCACCACCATGCCTTCAAACTTGTACTTGTAGGTGACCACGCCTGTGTCATCTAAGTACAGCAGGGAGATGGGGTCCAGCTTGGTGGGCACGCAACAAGCTCGTGCCGCCTTCTGAGGACTGTGGATGTTAATCAATGTCTGGACAATGGCATGCTTGGTGGGTGTGACATGCTTTGTCAGTGGGAAGGAACAAATGCCAGTGCACTCAAAGGCATCATAACCAGTGGGTGCCAGGATCCAACTGTCCCATCCAATATCCTTGAACTCCACGTACAGAGATTGTTTCTTGCAGTGGTTCCTGTTGGCATTGCGACGGATGCGGGACGCTGAGTCGTAGATCAGATTGGAGCGCATTTGGATGAGGTCCTCTTCATCTGGCTCTGCTTCTTCATCCGCCTCATCCCTGTCCCTCCCCAGCTCCCCCCACAGCCCATTCAGACCCATCCCCAAGTCATTCTGGAGAACAATGTCGGAGGTTTCGTGGTCGATCATCTCGTTCAGCTCGCGCTTGTCATCACGGTGATCGCTACTTTGGTCGTCAGAGAAAACAATCAGCAGAGGTTTGTGTTTTTCCTCAGGGCTGGTGTCAATCTTCATGTCTCCTTCAGCTGAGTCTTTGTTGTCCTCTGTCATACCTTGAACATTGTCTTCATTAGCCATGCTGGCAATGTGCACTTCCAACCGGTGCGTGGTGT